ACAACTTATCGGTTTCAGAAACTGTAAAGACATAAAAAAATTATCAGTTTTTCTACCTCCCAAAGGTACTTGAACTAACCACGTGTGGCGTGCCATTGCTTCAGGAAAAACTACCAAAGTTAAAGCTTAAAATTGTGATAATAATCATCACTTTGTTTTAACCCCCAGAACCCCAAATCTTGTTCCTGAGTTGAAAAGGTGCATTATCTTTGTAGAAAACTGCCAAAAATTACAACAGTTATCATAAAGTGAAACTCTTAAACCAGAGAGATTCATCAGATTTTCAACTTTCCGACGGTACCTGAACTTATCGTGTGCAGCGTGCTGTTACGTCAGTAAAAATTGTCCAAATTTAAGCTTAAAATTGTCAAAAATCACTTTATTTTAACCTTTATAACCCTGAAACTTGGTTTCAAAGGCATAATTTTTCTTTATAAAAAAACTTAAATTGCAACATTTCAACTCTACGGTACTTAATTTAATCTTGTTTGTTCCTTCGTGAAAAAAACAAAACAAATTTAAGCTCAAAATTGTGATATTTTATCAAGACTTCTAATAGTCACTTTATTTTAACCCCCAGAACCCCAAAACTCGCTCCTGAGTTTAAAGAGTGCATTATCTTTTAAGAAATCGTCAAAAATTACACAAATTATCATGAAATGAAACTGAAAAACTAAACAGAAGCATCAGATGTACAACTTTCCGGCGGTACTTGAACTTATCGTGTGCGGCGTGCTGTTGTGTCAGAAAAGATTGTCCAAATTTAAGCTTAGAATTGAGATATTTCTGCAAAAATCACTTTATTTTAACCTTCCAAATCCTGAAACTTGCTCTTGGGTTTCAAAGGAATATTTTTTCTTTTTAAAAAAACAAAATTTCAATTCTCCGATGGTGCTTAATTTAATCTTGTGTGCTGTCATGAAAAATAACCAAATTCAAGCTTAAAATTGTGATATTACATCAAAATCTCTTCAATTTGAATTAAACATTCACCTAAAATAAATCTTTTAGTCCACATTCTGTTAAAAAAAACAAAAAAATTTGCACCACTTGGCACCATGACGGACTCGGCTGTGGCCAACAGTCACATGACTTTGGGCTCAGTTCGGCTGAACTCCAGGCAGTGTTTCTTAGAGCAAAATCCAACCTACTGGATCAATAAAATAAATGCATTGTGGCTCAAAAACCGTGAACAGAGGAGCAAACTGTTGGAAGATACATACAATATGGTGAAATATGTTTTTGAGGTTGGAAAACAGCTTGTGGAGGTTGTAAAAATGGAAATAGTTCAATTTTAACCATTTTATTCTTGTGTTGGTAACACCTGCAGGCATTCAGAGGGATGTTGCACAGGTTCATTCTGCTTTTTATAGTCTTGTAAGATAAATAATCCAAGAAAATTAAACTTTTTTCCCTTATTAAAATGATTTATGGATGTTTAATAAGACATTTCTGAGTTCTGTCTCCTTCTCATCGTGGTTCTGCTTCCACAGAGGTGCAGGACTTTAGTGGAAAATAAACCTACAGTAAAGAAAAATTAGACAAGAGCAGAAAATGTCCAGAAACTTTGGGTTCAGAGGCTTAATTTGGAGGCTGAAGAACTTTGTCAGCTTTAGCGTTAAGACTTTCCTGAACGTGTAACCTTGAAACCAGCCCAGAGCTCCTGTTAATGTTCTTCTGACCATGTTTCCTGACATCACACATGAATTTTCATCTAAACGTCCGTCTGTGTTTCAGAAACTGTCCCTCTGAGCAGCGTGGCCTCCCTGAGGACAGCCTCCCTGCCCTTCGTCCTCGTCCTCCTCCTGCTGCTGACCACCTGACCGCTCCGTCCTCCTCGTCGCTCCACCTGCTCTCCGCGGGACTCGGACGCGACCTCCGCTCGACGACACAAGCGAATGACGCAGCTAAGCTATTGCAAACGACACCTCGGTGGCTTGTTTACCTGTGAAAATATCCAGAAAGAACCTCCCAAAAAAGAAAAAAAAAAAAAAAAAAAGGTGGCTTGTTTACCTGTGAAAATATCCAGAAAGAACCTCCCAAAAAAGAAAAAAAGAAAAAAAAAAGGGAACGGGGCCACGGTGACTCAGGGAATCGCAGTGATTCATTTCTTGTTATTTTCCTTCTCCCACCTGTTGTGTAAGTGCAGAATATTAGCCAGTCAGACGACTCGCGTCCCACTGTGATGCCACAAGAACAATGAGTCTGTCAGGGCTCGTTCGCGCAAAGTTTTTTCACTTTTTCATCTCCGTGTCTCATTTTCTGCTCGTTGTGTTGTCTTGTTTTTTCCTTTTTTTTTTTCCTTATAAGAAGAAAGCGGCCAAATAAACGACTGCGGCGAGTCGGGCTGGAGGTCACTCGCCGACACTTTCCTACATTCTCCCGACACGCTGCACGTTTGCAGGCACAAATAAGTGACTCGCTTCTCCGACTGCCTCATTTGCATCCGAGCAAGATAAATGTGTTCTACTTTTGTGACTAATTAGATTTTGAATCTAAAGGCGTTTTTTTTTTAAGGGAGGAAAATTGGGGGGTGGTGGTGGTGGGGGGGTGGATGTTCTGGAGGATTGAGGCTGGGCTGCTGCGCCCCCTGCTGGGATCTAACTGGTTGTACTGGAGCTGAACTGGGTTGTGGACTAAACCCAGAAACTGGATTCTGGTTCTGTGAGGCGATAAACAGGAGCCGGGATGGACTCGGATCCCTTCAGAATAAAGCGCAGAACAAAAAGGGAGAACGTCGGCTCGCGATTGGTCGGTTCTCCTGTCGACCTTCCAGGTGTGCACACGTGCACTCAAGCTTTTTTTTTTTATTCTTACGCAGAATCCTTGATGTTGCATGTAGAGTTAATATATTCTGCAAAAACAAGATACAATAACTGTATAATTCTTTTTTTTTTTTAATGAACTGATCATTTTATTTAAATATTGCAACAACAACAAAAAAAGACAAAAATTACCTTTTTTTAAAAATATAAACAATGATTTATTTTATGTGTTTGTATATTTACTGGTGTATTTCCAATATGATCAGTGTAGATTAGCAATTTGTTAAAAAATTTTTTACCACTTTTATTTTAAAAAAAAGAAAATAATGATTTGAATAGAAAAAAAAACCACAACAAATTTATTTTTCAGATTAAAAAAAAAAAAAAATCAAATAAGAGAGAAGCACGTGTATGTTTCTCTTTTGCAAATAAATGAAGTCTGTATTTCTAAGAATTATTTCCCCACAACAGAAAATCTAGAGGTTGCTTGTACAAGTTCAGCTTTAAACGACATCGTTAGCACTTAATATATTTCTGTCTTCCTGTCGAAAATGCTGTAAATCTCTTGTTTTTTTCATATTATTTACTAAATGTTTTTTTTTTTGTATGATAGTTCCATTTGGTGATGTAGAGTTTTAGTTGTTAGTCGTGGTTAATGTTTGTCCTGCTTTCACATTTTAGTGAAGAATGTAGCTTCTTCTGTGAAGAGCCAACAATCTGCAATCTGAGCCTTTTTTTTTTTTTTTTTACGCAGCGAGACGACAAAATAAAAACGTTTTTTTCCTTTGAGTCGATTATTATTTATCTGTCGAGTGTATTGATTATTCCTGCAACACACACACACGTCGGGTGTAATACACAGGAGATAAGGAGGCATCAGGGACTAGAAACGACCTTGCGGCGTGAGAGGCCGTTGTAATGCGAGCAACCTGCTGGAATATCGAGGTTTTTTTTTTTAAAATCTAAAGCCTGATAAGATACCCAACAGACTCCTGGTGTTAATAGACCCCCGCAGCCACGCGTCCACCTCAAAACGACGTGTTTTCGGTCAACACATCGGCGAGGAGAAGATGTGTTTTAAGTATAGACGTGTACATCCAAATCAGCTGTAAGTGCATTTCCATTTATATAGGCTGTAATGTAGAACGTCTTGTGAAGCCAGAGAGGCAATTTCCTGGATAATAGGCCTAATGCTGCTATTTCATGCTTTATGATCCCTTCTGATGACACGTTTGTCACCGTTGAGGCTTGTTGTAGCGAAGCGGCTTTGATTTTGACCTTCACGTACGGATTTCCAAGGCGCGCGTTTTTCATTCTTCTGCCGTCGAATGATGAAGCGCAGGAGTACATTCAAACGAGGAGAAAGAAGCTTTAAGGCAACAGTTTGATACTGAGGTTTTTTTTTTTTCTTATTTGATTTGAGGAAGTGGAAAAATCGTATCACAGATTCCATTTGGGATAATTTTCTTTGTCGTGTCATGTTGATGCGCCAGAGCTGGAGCTGAGCCTCGTAATTACAGACAGATGTTGCCGCGTTGAATAAATTCAGAAGATCATGAAAATCAAAGTTTTTTCCTTCCAAAGGTTTTACTGGAGCGACTGCGATCATAAACAATTTCTGCAGGGACAGATTTAGTCTTTGGAAACATACTCCACGAGTGACGCGGTGATTACAGCGTAGCAAATTTCAACACGCTGGATTCTGTTGTCGTCGGCGCTGATTGCATCTTCAGAAATGTAAAACGCATTCATTCTTATGTGTGTTTTGCATTTGTTCGCGACACATTTTCTCAAATCTGAAGGTGAATTTGACTCGTGAAGAGCGTCCGGTGTAGTTTTAGCTCACTGTAACGCTTCACATTCCCGTCATGTCTCAGACATGCGGACCCTGTAACCTTTTTCCTGGATTTTGGGAGAATGTTTTTCACAGATAAGAGTCTCTCAGCTCTCAGCAGCAGCGACAATCGGACCGGCGTGTATTTCACACTCGGAACCAAGGTGAGCCGAGGTGAGAATGCTTCCCTGCTGCACCAGGTGTCCTTGAGCGTGTTTCAAGATTTGGAATTTTACTGGTTATCTTTGGTTTATTTTTACTTTATTGAAGTCAAGACATCCATGAGAAGTAAGACGACTTTCCCCCGCTGGGAGGGGAAGTTGTTCGACTTCCTGTCCGTATGATAAAGTCTTCACTATGCAGAGCGATGCACAGTTTGACACCTTCTTCTGATGAAGGTCACCGAAATCACACCAATTATCCGAGTCCGACACTGCAAAAAACAGAAAGAACGTCCCAACAGCGCCTGACATAATCGTGAACAACCGTTTTATGAGGTAACATGAACCGAATCTAAGCTAAAACCTGTGATATTTCATCAAAATCGCTTTGTCTCATTTAAAATTTAGGCAAAAATAAACAGTTAGCTGGAACCAGATTCTGTAAAAAATGAAAATTTCTCCGGTGCTTGTTGCAACCGAGAAGCAGCGGCTGACTCGGCTCAGACCAACAGTCATGTGACTAAAAGTTTTCAGGTTGAGCTGCAGACAGTGTTTACACGGAGCGGAAATAAAAAGAAAGAAGTTGATCAATAAAAGGATTTTTTTGCATCATTACAGTGCCTTCATGAGAAAATGAATGAAGCTGTTGGAGTAGCCAAAAACAAGCATTAACAAAAGAAAAGGCTGTAAAATGTAATATGTATATGAACCACTTTAACCCTGAAACCTAGTGGCGGATTTGAAAGTCATGTTATCTTTTGACACAGACTCATCATATTTTCAATCTTCCAGTACTCTGTGAACATATTATGTGTGACAAAAACCCCAAAATAAGTTTAAAATTGAGATATTTGTCAATATGTCTCATATATAAACTTGCCAAAAATGAACTGTTTGCACATGACAAAAGTTGTTGAGTTACCGGCTGAACTGCAGGCAGTGTTTCCACAGAGCAAAGAGGAGACGACAAGAGAGACTGAGAGGAAAAGAAAACATATTCCATCCATAAAATCAATGCAGCATGGCTCAGAATCAGTGAACAGAGGAGCCAGTTGTTGGAGATACAGTCAGCTGATGGTGGAACATCTGTCTGATGTGCAGAGTGGAATAAAAAAGTTTGCAGAAGCTGAAAAAAATTTTGATCTTCATGTTCAAATTGACTCAAAATTGGTCCAAAATGATCGAAAAAAGTGTCTTAAATAACCCACAACCTGTTTAAAATGACATAAACTTATGAAAAAGTGATCACAAGAGGAAACTAGAACGTACTGGATCAATAAATAAATGCAGCATGGCTCAGAAACAGTGAACAGAGGAGCCAGTTGTTGGAAGATACAGTCAGCGTGGTTTGTTTGTTTGTTTATTTGTTTATTTAAAAGGATTCCCATTAGCTGAGGCCAAGACGTCGGCTAGTCTTCCTGGGACCCAGACAATAAAATATCAGAAACAAAGATTACAGTCTCAAGTAAAAATATATAGAATAGAACAAAAATGCACACAACAACAAGAATAATTGAAATAATGATAAAAATACAAAAAGGTCATACAAAGAATAACACATAATATACTATAGAATAATATTAATATAATATATAATAGAATAATATTATTTTCTGTAATTCATGTGCAGAGTAAAGTGGAAAAAAAGATTCTAGAGACTGTAAATAGTAAAATATCTCTTGAACAAAGTTTAGACTCACCTTTTTTTTTCAGTATTAGTAACAGCTGTGGCCACTTGGGAAAATGTTGGACATGTTAATTCCATTTTCTTTTTCTCCATTTAAAAAAAATAATAATAATAAAAAAGACATGTCTGAGTTCTCTCTCCTTCTTTGTGGTTGTTCTGTCTTTCTGACTTTATGTTGCACAGAGAAATGAGTCCACAGTGAATAAAAATGTGACAGGAGCAAAACTTTGACCAGCATGATGTGGAGACCTGAAGCACCAACACTGTACGTGATCGGTCACAGCTGCAGCTTATATCCAGTAGTTGGACTTTGCAGAATGAAATCTGCATCTGATTCATAATTTTTCAATTAGGGACGAGGCGTAGATGTCATTTCAGGAATTTCTAATCAAGTAATTGAAGTGTTTTCTAGAAGAAAAAAAACATGTCAGACACAAATTTATATTCACAGCAGAGTATTTTGTTTTATCAATTTCCAAACATGCATGAAGGAGATGTTTAATCTTGTTGCGACACTATTAAAAAGATGTT